GTGGCCAGCTCAGACCTGAGTCAAGACAACTCTTCTTAAACGACGTCCGCTCACTCTCGTATGCAGAGCATTCAAGAAGCAAATGCTTCGAAAACTCCGGCTCACCACACATGCATCTATCGTCTATTTTCAAGTTGAACCCAGCAAGCTTACCAGCAAAGTCTCCATGTCCTGAGACAAACTGCGTAGTGTCAAAGTCGAATTGCAGTTTACCCTTAAGTTTTAATCTCTCTTTGATGGATGGAAAGAACTCATAGGTACAACGTCCCTTACTCGAGTTATTCCATCTATCCTGCCAAAGCTGTATGGACACGTTTCTCAGCTTCCTGTATATTCTAGTTCGACATTCATCCTCACAATACGTATATTCGTATCCCTTGTAGTTAAAGCTTGAGTGTGCTCTCACTTTATATCTGTAGTAATATTCCATAGCCAAAATATCGATGGGCATTGCTCCTGCTATCACATGTGCTGCGTCATGCGAAATAGTTCTATATGCCCGGCACACCTTTATGAGAACACATCTCTGAGCTGACAGCAGCACAGCACACTGCTTTTTGGTTAGCAGATGCCCAAACGCTCCAACACCGTAGAGCACAATTGGTACAAATACTGCGCTATATATAGAGGAAACACTTGAGAACCTAAGTCCCCATGTGTTTCGAGCTATTGCTCCCATCTGATGAAACACCTGTTTTCCCCTTGCGCCTGCACGTTTTATATGCTCCGTTATGGTCATTCGGGTGCCGAAATTGACCCCAAGGTACCTCACCGTGTGAGAGTACTTGATATTCTTGCCTTCCAATTTGACTGTCGGAGGTCTTAGTCCACCTTTGCCTGTATTACATAAGGAGCCGGAGATGACTCCTTTACCCTTACGCTTTTTGTTTCCACACGTTGCATCTCTCAGGACTATCATCTCGGTTTTAGTTTTTGACAAAACCAAACCCTCCTCATCACACCACTCTTTAAGCAGGTCGACACACTGCTGCGCCAGCCGCTCCAGTTCCCTTCTGCTGTTGCCATGTATGATGGCTAGCAAGTCATCCGCATAGGCCACAAGCTTTACACCCTTGTCCCGGAGTCTATTTAATGGCACATCCATTATAAGATTCCAGAACTCAGGTCCAAGCACCGACCCCTGCGGACAACCCTTCGTCAAGTTTTTGACAACTTTTTCATAGCCATCCTCTAGCTGTACCTTTCGGTCACTGAGGTAGCTAGCGACAAGATTATAAAGACGCTGATCACAGCTTCTCACACTTAGTTGGGTAAGCACTGACTCCCACCCGACATTATCGAACGCGCCGGTAATATCGAAGAGGATTCCCAGCGCCATGCTTTTGTTTGTATCCTCAACCAGTCTCTGCATGTCAGCAATTGCGTCTACAGTGCATCGACCCGCTCTAAAGCCATACTGCCTATCAGATGAATAGGCAGGGTGCACAAGCCATGGCTGGAGAGACACTTTTAGTAGCTTCTCCAGTACTTTACTGAGAGTCGAGAGCAAACAGAGTGGTCTGTAAGATCTCGGCTCCGAGGGGTCCTTTTCTGGGGACTTGAGCAAGACTCTAAGCACCCCAGTTTTCCATATTCTTGGAAACACTCCATGTACCAAACATCCATTATATAATATACTCAGCACCTCAAGCAGGTCTGTGTCAAGAACATTTTTCAGCATCTCCACCTCGATGCAGTCATCTCCTGGCGCTTTACCATTTTTAAATGACTTAATTGCCTTTGCAATATCATTACGACTCCAGCCAATGTCCTCAGACTGCGGAAGATTATCCACCAACCTCCTCTCAGGGGCTTGGCTGTCACTACCAAAGAGTTCACTAAGCAAGTTATTGGCGCTATCTTGCCAATTGTTCGTGGATACACCATTTTTGCTGATGTTAGCAAAGGCTGCTCTGGTGCTCAGTTTCTTTGCTGCTATTTTGTAGGGTATGCCGAACGCATTAGTGCTATCATTGTCCTCTACAAACTTTCGCCAGCTTTTTACTCTTGCACCAGCAACAGCCCTGGTATAACCACGTCTTGCAGCGCTATATTCCATCTTGGCCATAGCCCTATCCTCCAAAGATAGTCTAGGATTTTGAGACCATCTACGCAGTCTATTAACGTGTCTTTTCTTCCTCGTCAATTCAGCGGTCCACCAAGGTACCGACTTCTGGAAGTACTTCTTCCTCTTCATCGATGCCTCAGCAGCCGTCGCAATGATTCTAGTCACTATGCCAGCCAACTCCTCTACCTGTGTTTTGTCAACTAGTGTAGCCTTACACAGATTTAATTTAGACACTTGTTCATTAATGAATCTTTTGTAGTGCGCCCACTTGGCATGTTTCGTATTGTAACGGGGCATACTAACCCTATCAGGTTTTGGCAAGTTCCCAAAGGCGTGCACTATAGCTCTATGGTCGCTAGTCTCAACGTCCTCAGTTATTATGCTTGCTTTGCTCTTATTAATAAAGTATGAGTCAACCAGGGCACAGTCAATATTCCTATTGCCAACCTTAAAGGTGCAAAGGCCACCCATATCTTTAAGCGCATAAAGATTCCATTGAGAAACAAATGCTTCCATCTGCTCTCCTCTCTCATCAGCGTATTCACAATTTTTACACCACAAGGGTGACACCGCATTGGCATCAAGGCCAATAATAACCTTGTTACTTCCAATCTTCTGCAATATCCCTTGTAGCTCTTGCAGGCTCTTCTCAATATCAAGTGAATACTGGAAGTAAGCAGACACTACATAAAACGACCCATGCGGTCCAGAGACATAAGCACACACACAATGTGCAGTGCTAACATCCCGGAGCAGCATGCCACTATACTCTCTTTGGGTTATGAGGATACATGCCCAAGGTGCTTCGTCAATGCTGTTGCCAGTAATGACTTGATTAGCGTGTCTACCAAGTCCAACAATCTCATTTTTATACTGGTATGGTTCCTGTATTAATAAGATCGGGATACGGCGTCGAGATGCAGCATCAAGTGCCTCATCCGTAGCCGTTCTCCCACGTCCTAAGTTGACTTGCATCACAAGGAGCTCGTCACTATCACTGAACTCCGTAATCAGTTCGTGTGATTAGTCTCTCCACTGCCAACTTGTACGCCGGACAGCACTTGTCTACAGCTTCATGGTCAAATGGTTTTTCTGCAGCCTTGCAGTTACTACAGATCGGCTTTGCTTTATTTTGTTTGCTTAAGCAGTTCTTAAACTCATGTCCCTGTTCAGCACAGTAGGAGCAGGTCATGCTCTCATTCTTGCAGTACTTGGAAATATGTCCAAATCTCAGACACTTGAAGCATCGTGAGATGCCTCTATAATCCTGGACCTTGCAGAACTGCCATCCAATATAAATCCTCTCACTACCCTTTCCACGGAGGATGTTTCGTATTTTGGGGGACGATTCAATTACCCAGTTGGATAATTCACCATCCTTTTTCCCAGTTTTAAACTTGGGAACAAATCCCTTAGAAAATTCTTCCCATTCAACTCCTTCCAATATGCATTCATTTTGCTCATACACATTTTTAACAACTTCAGTAGCACTGAGTTGACTTTGCACATCAAAGATGATTAATTTTGGGTTAAGGAGACCCGATTTTGCCACCCTAATTCCATTCTGCTTCAATACCTTATTCTCTATAATTTTATTTGTATCTTCAGCAGACGCTGTCTCGATACAAATCTTGCCACTATCCCTCTTTCTAACTGCCTTGATCTTGATTTTCTCCTTGACAGGATTAATCATCTTCATAACTTCCGCCTTTAATTTTTCAGTAGTGTCGCTCTCTATCTTGGTTCCTTCAGGTGGCGATATTATCACCACTTGTGCAACGCTTTTAATTTTCGTACTAGTACCAGTAACTGGCGGCACCTTATAGGATTGTGCGACTGATGAATATGTTGGCTGATTTTTCAGCCTATCCAGTCCATCTATTTTATTCATAATTTTATTCTGCGCATGCATAAGACCCTTGTTATACGATTTTAGCGCAAGGTTCTCAATAACCAACCTGCTGGCAATCTTTACAATTGCATCAAATTGTGTGTGCAAATCAGAAGCAAGTTGCTTCGATATTCTTTTAGACGCATCTGCAACATGCTCACTACACTTCTCCTTGATATTATTAATCGCAGCCAGGTCAATATCCGTACTCTCAAATAGGTCTTTCCAAACTCTGTCCTCCGAGGAGGGAGAGGAGTCTGAGAGAGTCCTCTTGCGACCCTTTCTACCAGTCGAGTCGTCCTTAACCGACGATTCAGACACATCCATTCTCGAGTCTAGGAACTCAGTATCTCCACTTGGCACCTTTGAAATATTTTTGTTTTCAGTTGTGTTTTCCATTTTATTTAGTTAATTTGTTCAATAGGGTAGAGTCGAGGTCTTGACAGTCATAGCATGTTTAACCAGATCAGGGTCACAGATCAGATCAGGGTCACAGTAGATAGGGACAAATGAAAATTGTACACCCCAAAATGGGGTTGTAAGAACCGTCTGGCTCCAAACGGAGCATAGATTCCTCCCTTGCGGGACAAACAAAGTACATCCACAATTAAGAGATGCCACAAGCCAAAGGTGGTAAATGGAAAAACGCCTCTGTACGGCAGGATCCGCCCGGAACCATAAACTCACACACCGCCAGTTAAGGTGTTAAATCCGCAGTCGTGTGTGAGTGCCTCAGATGACAAGAAGACTTTGAAATGTCTCTTAAAGAGAAGGAACCTTTGCTATGTCTGTCTTGGGCCAACCAAAAGAGGTTAGATCAGTCCAGACACATTGCCCAGCGGGGACGTCGCGGACGTTGGTTCCCCGTCTGGTGCTGCACCACAGTCAAACTCAATGATCAACTCACTGTATTGATATGTCACATAAATGTGATACGCCATAGCGTACTTGCTCCCGTTAATATTTTTAGACCATTAACTCCACTGTCTTCTTGCTAACCCTTTGATGGCTACAACAAGGGCGTAGAACGCCTCGGCCTCT